TGACTGAAAACTATGAATTGTAACTGGAATAGCCGAGATCACAGTCTATCCTGTTGCTCCTCTGCACGTCACAGATCTGTGCCTCACTCTTGTGACTTTTTGTGTTTCTAGGTACAGAGTTTGAGGGAGCAATTATTGCGCTTTTCCATCTGCTGGCTACTCGGACAGACAAAGTGCGGGCTTTGAGAGAGGCCTTCTACAGACAGAACCTGCCCAACCTCATGAACCTCATTGCCACCGTATTTGTCTTTGCTGTAGTGATATACTTTCAGGTGAATTGATGGCCTTTCTTAACCTTGCAACTTTTTCTCACAGTTTAAAATAGGAATTGCTAATGACCAAGATGATGTTAGAGAATTTAAACAGTTTAATTGTTAACAGTTGTCCAACACATTCACCTCTTCTCACAGGGATTCAGAGTTGATCTACCCATCAAGTCGGCACGCTATCGTGGCCAATACAACACTTACCCCATCAAGCTCTTCTACACCTCCAACATCCCCATCATCCTGCAGTCTGCCTTGGTTTCCAACTTGTATGTTATTTCCCAGATGCTCTCTACACGCTTCAGTGGCAATTTCTTGGTTAACCTGCTCGGGACTTGGTCTGTAAGTATACATTTAATCATTAGTCTCCAAGAATGGGTCCCCAGATGTACTTTTTTATGAGTCTTTTAGGTGTTTTTGGTAACCTAAATTCCAGCTCATTAAAGCTTATATTCTTTTCTGATGTTTGTAGGATACATCGACGGGCGGTCCAGCCCGTGCCTACCCTGTAGGCGGACTCTGTTACTACCTCTCTCCCCCTGAGTCATTTGGCTCTGTCCTGGACGACCCGGTCCATGCAGTCATCTACATTGTCTTCATGCTCGGATCATGTGCCTTTTTCTCCAAAACCTGGATTGAAGTCTCCGGGTCCTCTGCAAAAGATGTAAGTTATAAACACTTTCAAGCAGGTGGTGTATTGGGTTTATTTTAAACAGACTGTTTTTAAAGCTCTTTTCTTCCCATTCATCTAGGTGGCGAAACAGCTGAAGGAGCAGCAGATGGTGATGAGAGGACACAGAGAAACCTCAATGGTCCATGAGCTGAACAGGTAAGATCTTTTTTTGCTTTTCATTCACATAACTCATCAGCCGCTTAAACCATATATTGAACAAGTTAGAAGGGTTCTAAGCTTTCATCATGAATTTACATTATGTTCTTGTCACAAAGCAAAGAAAACTCAAAGCCATCATATTTCAATTTACCTTCCTTTATTAACATGTGTAACCATTTAGTGGTACACTCGATTGTCAGGAAATGGATCCTGAGGGTAAAAAGTCCACATACTCACTTGCAAACACAGTTTTGCAAAAACATATAGAAAACATTTTTTTTCATGTACAGCACAAGAGTAAACAATAAAATGAATTATGGTTGAATTCCATTTAGCTGCTTCAGTTTGAAGATCCTAGTATTGTGCACCCTGGCTCACTGTCACAACTGACTGGGACACTTGAATAGAACAAAGCCGTCATTAATGCTATTAGTAACCTGTGCTTCCATTATGACAAATGAAAATGTCTGCCGTGAAAAAAGCCTGTCACTGTACATTTGGTCTGTTTGTCTTGTACTGCATGTACGTGTAAAGTCTCGAAGAATGAGAGGTGGACTTTTAATAAGAGTAATTCATTAATAATCTCAAATTACGGTCCACTTCCTACCTTTTTCAAAATTTCAACCGCATATCTTCATTCTGAGTTGAGATCCCAAGGTTCCTATGTTCATATTTTTTCATATATTTGAGCCAGATTGAATCCCTTAGTCTTTGCAGGAGAGTCAACTCACGTGTCTTTTTTCTTTTGTAATAAGATTTTATGTTCTAAGAAATGCTTTTCCACCCAAACAAAGAATTTTAGTCCCTTGTTGAAGGCACAGAGTGCACAAATGTCAATTATTGAGCTACACTAAACTAATTAAAAGCAGGGAAGCATTTCAAGAATGTGACTACTTTTGTTTATGGCTAATGTTTTTCTCAGTTGTTTGCAACTTGGTCACTTGGGTGTGCGTCTACAATATGCACCGCTTAAAGGAACTGTTTGGAAAATGCTCTTCCACCATTTTCTAGTCTTTGTGCTAAGCTAACTGGCTGTTGGCTGTAGCCCTTTATTTAATACAGACTTAAGAATGGTGTCTATGTTCTCATCTAACTCTTTGCAAGAACGCCATAAGTATATTTCCCTACAATACTCCAATCACGATGAGTGTATCTACCATTCCTGCTACTTGGCATTTCTGCTGAAAGATTGTACGGTGAAATTCTGTGTATTAATATTCATCTCAATCTCCCTGTTTTGTGTTGTAGGTACATTCCTACTGCCGCTGCCTTTGGTGGACTGTGTATCGGTGGTTTATCAGTAATGGCTGACTTTCTCGGAGCCATTGGCTCTGGCACCGGTATCCTGCTGGCCGTCACCATCATCTATCAGTACTTTGAGATCTTTGTGAAAGAACAGAGCGAAGTAGGCAGCATGGGGGCCTTGCTCTTCTAGAAAAGCCATTATCCTCTCACCTTCTAACAACTTTTCTTAAGATCACCAACCTTGCATTTGTTTTACATCATGTGAAGCCCCTGAAACATCAGCTCTCCAGTTTCACGATGTTTGAGGAATCTTCAGGAATCTCAGCTGAAATGGGACCTTGTGAGGTGGTGGGGCTACACAGCTTGTCGCTCCCTCCACAAATCTTCCAAAGTAACACAAAGACCGACATGTCAGTTGTACCTCATCAGTTCTAACTGACTCAAGATTATAGCTCCCCAAGATTCATTTTCAAGGCTGCGTTTGTGTACGAGATGAAATCCTGTGGGAGCTTGGTCCTTTTTTTCAGACTGACAATAGAGTGCTTCAGTATGCAGGCATACTCAACACAGATGACGGAGGTCAACTGCCGGTTGTGTGCATAAAAGCACTCGATATTTAGCCTAGTTTATACTTTTCCTTTCAGCTTTTAAAAAATTTTTTTTTCTGACAATTACGTGAAGGTGCGGACCAGAAGCTGAACTGTCAAACGCTGAGTCAAGCACTGTACATTTTCCTGATTTGTGATCTGTGTTATAGCTGTTATTTGATCTGGGTGTTGCAAGAAGAGGAGAGGATGTGGAGCTCACATTGGGGTCCACCTGTCAAAATTAATTGTTCAAACTTATTTTTGTGAATATCTGATGAACCATTCAAAAAAGGGTCCTCGCTGTTTTACTGTATGGCATTCCCACGGAGCTGCAGTATTAACTCACATGTCCCATTTGTTTTTGTTACCCACTTTCTTTCTTCTTTTTTTTTTGAATTGTCTGCTCTAAGCATACTTGCGTTAATCATGTTTCCACAACTGACAAATTCTGTACATAGGCCATGCATTGAATAACTTAGAATTTGTCTTAAGTGTAAGATAAGTCTTTTGAATATGTCAAAATAAATGCATTTCAGAACAAACATTCGCAATAAAACCTTTTGTGGAAAAAGGCTTAATCTTTTGACTCTTCTGCTTTTCTAGTGAGTGAATCAGTTTTCAGAAGCGCAGGATTTCCAGGGAAATTCACTTGTCATTTTATACTATAATGCTTCTGGGGCTTTTTTAATCTTTGTATTCATGTCTGTACCATAAAGATTTAGCAATTCTATATGAGGTTATAACACTTCAACACGTCAAATGATGGCCTTTTTTTTTTTTTTTAGGTATTTCTCTATATTTTTCTTTTGCTGTATGAGTTATTGTATTCAGTCAGCTTAAAGTTTGGCCTGTTGGATGAGTAACATTTTACTGCTATTAATACTATATGAGCACTTTATAAATATTTAATTAAACATACTAGGCTTTGTAAGCTGATATAAAGATGTCTAATATTAATAAATATATATATTATATATTATGTATATATATATATTATTATATTATATATATAGTATATATATATATAGTATTATATATAGTATATATTATATATATATATAGTATATATTATATATATAGTATTATATATATATAGTATATATATATATATAGTATATAGTATATATATATATATATAGTATAGTATATATATACTATATATATATATATATATACTATATAATATATATATATATAGTATATATATATATATATATATATAATATATATATATATATATATATATATACTATATATATATATATACTATATACTATATATATATATATATATATATATATATATATATATATATATATATATATATATATATATATATATATATACTATATATATATATATATACTATATATATATACTATATATATATATATATATAATATATATTTTATATATATTATATATATATATATATATAGTAGTTTATATGGCAGTTTCCACTTATGGAGGAGTTATAGTTGACAAACAGTAATAAACACTCATCTGGTTACTTACGTTAAGGTGTGTTATGTGAATAAACACCAACAAGCCGTTTCAATAATGAATGAGCTCATCAAACATTGATTATGTGATTGCATGTTAGAAAATATAAAGATCGATTTTGTCATTATTACGGCAATATTACTTTTATCCTAATCTCCCACACCTGAAATAAAATAAAGTTTGGAAAAGTTGTGGACTTGCAGGGTAATTGTAAGTTTTTTTAAAGTGTAAAATCACAAATGGGACAGTACACTTTACAGATAACTAAATTGTAGATAACTGAAAGGAGGATAAACATGGATTGTTTGTATTTCCCTCTTAATATCATATTTCTCATCCTTTCTTGGTTGACATCTCATGTCAGGGATATATTGTATTTTGACGGGGAGAAATTGGATTAGAAAAATCTAATCAGAAAGTTAGACGGAAATCGTACCAAAGTTTTGTGCGAAATCAAATTACAAGCGTCTTTTTGTGGAAAAGCCAGTTTTACATTTTTCCGTGTGACGTTTTGAGCTGTCGGGGGCAGCAATGAGCCCCGGGGCGCCTGCGCTACCGGAAATAGAAAAGGAGAAGAAGAACTCTGCACGCTTAAGCAAGGATAGTTGTGAAACCACAAGCTAACTGAGCTAATGCTGGACTAAAACTGTTCTTCATGTGTTGTGTTGTGTGTCAGTAGGACTCTTTACCCTCGGAGCTGTAGCAGTAAATCAGAAGGAGGAATTTAAACTGTCCCAGCGTGAAGAAATGAGCTCGATCCGAGAGGAAGGTAACCATGCTGTTCTAGCTTCCTTACCCTGCTAACCCTGAACTTGATATTTTTTATGAATGAAAAAAGAAACCAGTTGCTAAAAGTGTATCAACAAGTCCCTTGTTAAGATAAGAATAAGGAGTGTGCTACATTAGCAGTGAACAGGACTGTTAGCTAACTGAACTGTTACCATCACAGTGTTTAACCTTGACCAGCGACCATAGCGACATTATTAGAGGATGTCATGTTGCACTTATTACAGTGACTTACCTTAACATGTTTTTCATAGAAAGTCACCCCCAGTCCACTCATTCTCGTGACTAAAAGTCATGGTTTTCTCTCTCATTGACATCATGAAAACACCTTGATGTTTTGGAAGATAACAGACATACATGTCAGAAGCTAATTTGGACCATAAATAAGGTCCTGGGTGATTTATTGGACAGGCTCCAGTAAAGACTGTGCTAGACAATGTTTAAATGGTGAACTTCATTTAAACATTGTCCAGCAGTATGTCCAGTACCTGTGTTATGACTTGTTAGTCTCAGAAAGTTTAGTAGATGCTGTAGATGTAATTTAGAAAGCCTTTATGTTGAATTAAGTGGACACAGGACTTATAACTAATGATTTGTTTCCACATTTTACACGACAGGTAAAGACCAAATCATCTTTGTCACCAAAGAGGATCATGCAACACCCAGCAGTGCTGAACTCGTAGAGGAAGATCCTAATGACCCATATGAGGAGCGAGGTGAGGAGCAGTAACGCTACCAAGAGTAACCTGTCATCAGGCTAAACTGTAGCTTTGGTGAAGTTTGAAAAACGCATGTTTATTACCCGTGTATTAACTTAAACCACCACCATCTTGTCCTAGGTCTGATTCTTCCCAGTGGGGAGATCAACTGGAACTGCCCCTGCCTGGGTGGGATGGCCAGTGGTCCCTGTGGGACTGATTTTAAGGATGCCTTCTCCTGTTTTCACTATAGTAAGGAGGAGGTGAAGGGCTCTGAGTGCCTGGAGCAGTTCAGGGCCATGCAGGAGTGTATGCAGCGTTACCCAGAGCTCTATCCTCAAGAAGATGACAAGGTGTCAGAAACAGACAAGACCTCACAAGACTCTGCATCTGCAGAAATATCCGGTGCAAACTCAACATCTCCTACTGTGCAAGACTCTAATACTACACAACCCAACACAGAGGGCTCAGTGGAAAGCTAATGGTGAGCCTTAGTGGCAACATGAGCCACACGAATTTAAAGTCCAGCTGAAATCTCATTTAGTCTAACGATGAGAGACCAACCAATATGGGATTTTTAAGGCCAATATCCATATTGGTATTTGAGAATAAAATAAATGTATGTATCGGCTGGTTTATTTTTTTTCTTGGTAATTAGGTTACGCAGAATATTTTACAGTTGAGCTGTAAACATTATTAAAAATGACAGTAACAGTAAATGAAAGATGAGTTTTGTAATTTTGTTAACTAAAAATGAACTCCTTATGAATAATATGTAGTGAGCCACAAGAAATTAAAATCCAGCTGAAATCGTATTTTGTCATCCCTTTTTGCCATCAAAATAAAGTCAACACATCACGGCCGGTTGCGGAACAAGACAAGAGACTGACTATGTATGGTTAGCGGTAGTGAAGAGTAAAGACCACACCAGCATCTGAACTGATTGAAGTTATATCTGCAAGTAGATTTACATGCTGTTTAACGTGCTGCAGCTCATCAACAAATTAGCTACCTACCCTGCAAACTGACATTAGTAGTGCAGTTTTCCTCTGTGAATGTTTGGTCACTCATTCCAACAAGCTATGGTGAGGACAGGACGTGTATTTCTAAGTTAGATAAGTAAAGCCAATGTGGGTTGTTGTTCGAAGTCTGTGTCTACTGCTGTATGCAAATATCATTCAAAATGAGGATGGCTGTAGACGGTGAGCTTAAGGTATTAAGATGAATTGAAGCCAATGAAACACATGTACGCTGTAGCAGACAGCCACATCATGTGACATTTACTTTTAGTTGGACTTAAATCATTCTATTTATGATTAAATGATCATTTACTTTTGTAAAACTAATACATTGATTTCAATGAAAAAACGACTATCTTGAGTGTTAACTTCATGTTATTCAATCCTGTCTTTGGGTTAATGCAAAAGAGTATTTAATACAACCAAGAGCGTACAGGACCAAGCTTAGAGGTGTATAGTGCATATTTTAGTCATTTCCTTTGTGTCAAGATACTTCTATCTTGCCCATGCTGTGTGATCTACCATATCTTGGTCTGAAAATGTAAGATTAAAGTGAAATATTTTCTTTTTCAGTATGTTGCATTTTAGATGTAAATTATTTGTTGTTCAAAGTTTACATTCATATTAAACTTTGACTCAAATTTACATTAGTAATCTTACCGATCAAGTTGCTAAATTCACAAAGGTGTGAAGAATGTACTGAAGAAAACTTTCTACTGTGATATCTTTGAGTCGTGTGTTTCCACAGTCCCCCTCTGTCCTGTGACACTGCATTTATTCTGCTAATTTATAACCAGATTTAAAAACATTTACCTCAACTGAAGCATTTGTGTGCAACAAAGGACTGATTGGAGTGATTTGAAGTGAATATTGTTGAATGTTTTCTAATAAAATGTATTATACCTGTTTTGGTTCTTGTGAGGTATTATTGTTGTTTATCCCTTTATATTTCCTCAAGCCTGACATTGCAACAATGACATTATACTGTAGAGGGGGGTAACTCTCAGTTGACCATAAACGAGTTACACTAGAAATACTCGAATATCGTTACATACATACTTTATATTAAAGGATTTGTGTTGTAAATCAAGGTATTTAATAAAGATGATAATGTATTAATTAATTTAATGATTATAACTAGCTACTTTGTTGTTTCGTGCATTTCACCCTCCTTAAGTGCAAAATATTGACATGTAAGCTTGATTTTATTTAACTGAGTTACATCGCAAGCTGTAGGGATCAGAGGTCTGTGGCAGTGTTTGTCCACTGAAGCATGTGCCACTTCAAACTCCGTCAGGGATCAATAATTACCAAACACCCTTTTCCATCCGTGCAGTACCATTGGTGGATTGCGAAGGGCAAAGAGGACTAAAAAGCCAATGAGACGATAAGGCAAAGAGTGATCACCCTCAAATCTTCAGATGTGCACAGCCTTCCGTTGCATAGGGGACCATTTGCAGTGAGAGCCGCCTTCAGTCTCCGGTGTGACCTCTGTGTGAGACAGAAAATACTCAACACGATGTCTTCTTTAAAGGAGATATGCAGTGGTTTACCCCTGGACCCTTTGCCCACTAACCGGGGAAGAGACCCCAACGTGCCACATGCACCTGTGCGGACCCCCAACCTTACTGCAGAGGAGGAGCGGGTGAGTAACATACGCAAATTTCTGTAAATTTAAAGTCACCAGTAATTTGTGAATCACGTATCCAGTGAAATTTTATGACTTCTTAAATACAGGTAACTCATAACATTAATAATGGCTGCTTTCCATGTTGTGCAAACCTAAATGGAACAGATCAAATAATTAATGTCATTAGCCACACCAGTGCTTTTCCAAAATACTTTAATATTAGTGAACTAAACTGTAGTATTATATGTGTAATGGTATGGAAACACTACACATGGACTGGTGTGGCTCGAAACTGTTAAACTATCAAAAGGAAAGTCAGGCTACTTTTAGACCTAATGGTGAAGTAATGTGAGAGTGATCTAAGCGAGGCTGCAGAATCACTGTCATGTCAGACAATTGCTTTACTATAAATGTGTCAGTAGAAGCACAACTATTACGCCATGCTGTGTACTCTGACTTATTGCATCACCATTGTTGGCCTATGGGCTGCCCTACAAAATTGATTATTTTCTAAGGTTGTCAACTGATTGCCCAAACTTAGAGCAAAGGCTTCAGGCAATAATTACAAGAGGCACAGTGAGAGCTCAACCTGTTCGATTAAGTGTAAAAGATCTACTCATCCATCTGACTTGATCTGGTGAAACATTGATTTGCACTGTACTGTGTGTGTTCACTAACCTACTGTAAATGCCTCTTTCCTCTAGTTGGCGCTGAGAAATGCATTGCGGTATTTCCCCCCCTCCCACCACGCAACACTTGCACCCGAATTTGCTCAAGAGCTGCGACAGTATGGGCACATCTACATGTACCGCTTCTGCCCCATGTTACGCATAAGGTGAGGCAGCCTGAGAGCCCAACTGGATTTTTCAGGCCAATATCCATATTGATATTTGAGAGGAAAGTAAATTAAGATTAATCCTTTTCCCCCCTTTCCCTTTTTAGCACATACAATTAAATATAAATATTTAAATTTGCTAATTAGGTTATGACAAAGATATATACTGAGGAGGAATCTCACTTTAAAATGGTATTGTCTGTTTTTTCTTCATTTCACCACAACCGTGATTTGAGCTTCCCTCTGTTTCCTCAGAGCTTACCCCATAGATCAGTACCCATGCCGCACACGTCAAGCAGCCTCCATGATGCTGATGATCATGAACAACCTGGACCCAGCAGTTGCTCAGGTGAGCCGCTAACCACCTCACTAACTATGCTCGCTGAATCTCTGTGTGAAGTCTTCTGTTTAATTTACTGTCTCGATGACAGCTTAATTTTTCTTTGTCCTCCAGTTCCCACAGGAGCTTGTCACCTACGGAGGGAATGGACAAGTGTTTAGTAACTGGGCCCAGGTAAGCCCTACGGTAGCTTGTGTTCATGTAGTGGAGTTGGTAATAATGTATTGAGTATAAATGGAGGAATATTAATTATTTGTATGTGTGTGTGTGGGGGGGTGCAGTTTCGCCTGGTTATGCGTTACCTGAGTGAGATGACAGAGGAACAAACGCTGGTCATGTACAGCGGTCATCCCATGGGCCTGTTCCCAAGTCTGCCGTCCTCACCTCGCGCCATCATCACCAGTGGCATGGTACCTGCAACACACATCGATACTTGTATCCCTGTGTACTAACATACTCATACTTGATCGTACTTTTTTTTCATCCCCCAGGTTATTCCAAATTACTCCTCCAAAGAGCAGTATGAAAAGATGTTTGCCCTTGGTGTGTCAATGTGAGTTTTTTAAGGTGCTTTTCATCCTGTTATTTGCTTTCTCTATGATCTTTAACATCTCCCATGTGGGTGCAGATGTCTTGATGTGTGAAATGTGTTCTTTTAATTGTCCATTTTCAGGTACGGTCAAATGACAGCAGGCAGCTACTGCTACATTGGACCTCAAGGGATTGTTCATGGCACCATGGTTTGTGACATAAAGAAATAAAATGATGGGCACACAGGACTCCAGTATTTCTTTAATCAAAATATGGATTACTTTTAAACAGCGGATCCCAACGTGAGGGAGAAGTTGTAAGATTAGTGTCATAAGACAAGAAGAAAGCCAATTCATCCAACCAAAATTATACTTATTTTTTAGACTTTGCTTTATTGTTTTTTTTTTATTGTGAAATACTGGAGATTTTCACCTCTTCACACCCATAAAATGTATTTAAATGGAACAATCTGAGGAGGTTACAGTATACATTTCTTTGTATTAACAGGTCACATGTCAGGTTGGGAACCACTGCTTTAAATTATACCATTTGGTGTACATATCATGTTGGAGTTTCTGTTTTTTTACTTGTTTCCTTGTGTTTTTCTGTGTAGCTGACTGTGCTGAATGCCGGCAGGAGGTACCTGGGCTCTGATGACTTAAGGGGGCGTGTCTTTGTGACCTCCGGCCTGGGGGGCATGAGTGGAGCTCAGGCTAAAGCTGCTGTCATTGCTGGTTGTGTTGGCGTGATTGCAGAGGTCAGCTTATATTAAGTCATTTCCTGTCAAACCTCACTGCTGACTGAGCAAGACTGAAGCAAGTCCTATATGTCAATGTGACTGTGTGAATTTGATTTCTATGTAGGTGGATGAGGCTCCTCTTAGGAAGAGACATGAGCAGGGCTGGCTGATGGAGGTCACCAGCAGCATAGAGGACTGCATCAAACGCATCAGGTAACAAAAAGAAAAATTAATATCGAAGTAATTCTTCCATTCACCTATTATCAATGGTCAGGGGAGTTTTGCTTTAACAAACCTTTAGTGTGTGCGTGTGTGTCTCTGTATGGCTGTGATGAGACATCAAATTGGCATATCCAGTAAATCTAGAATTGCAGTACTTGCTGAATGAATCAGCAGCCCTGGCAGTATGATGTATTCACACCCTTTACCTAAGTAAAAGTAGCAATACCACTCTGTAAAAACACTCAGTTACAAGTGAAAGTCCTGGATTTAAAACAAGATAGTTGTACTCAAAGTATCAAAAGTAAAAGTACTCAGAAAAATGCCCACCTTGATGTATCATATTGTTATATACTGTTTTATATTATTAAAATATTTGTTCAATATTTTGAGATATACACTTTTTGTTAGATGAGAAAATTAATACCACTCTTGTGTCTGTACGGTAAATATATAGCTACCTCCAGCAGCTGGTTAGCTTAGCATTGCAGGGGAAATAAATACACTGCCTTTGTCCAAAGATAACAACATCCGCTTACCAGCTTATGAATTCAGTAATTGTATCTTATTTGTTTAGTCCGTTTAAAAACTGAAGTGTAAAATTAACATGTTGTAGTTTTCCGTGGTAATGTGCTGAACAATTTCTCAACCGGGTCATTAACGTCTGTCTTTCGACAGAGCTTAGCTGATTCCCCCCGTTTCCAGTCTTGATGCTAAGCTAATCAGCTGTAGCCTCATATTTAATACCTAATTTATAAGCTCATTATGTTTTGTACTTACATTTTGTACTATGTGAAAAGTATATATTTTTTTGATATAATGTGAAGTTGAAGTATAAAATGACATGAAATGGATGTACTCAGGTATAGTACAAGTACAACAAGTGTTTACTAAGTACATTACTTGAGTAAATGTACTTTACATTCCACCATGGTAAGATGTATCCTATAACAGAACCTGTCTGCTGTACAATGCACTAATTCTTATTATTTTTTATGTTTTCAGGGAGGCCAAGACCTCCAAGACTCCCCTCAGTCTGGGTTACCATGGCAACATTGTAGACTTGTGGTGAGTGAGAGGTGAAAACGTTTCGGCTACCCAATAGAGGACGACATCGGCTTGCAGCTACAGTGCAAGAGCCAGCTTTTTTTTTACATACTCTTGAAGTCTGTGTCCTACTTTTCTAACGTTCTGAACAGGGAGAGGCTCCTGCTGGAGTATGAGAGGACTGGGCAGCTCTTGGTGGACTTGGGTTCAGACCAGACCTCCCTTCACAACCCATATAATGGAGGCTACTACCCAGTCCAACTCAGCTTCCGCCAGGCAAATCAGCTCATGTCGACTGATCCTAATCGTTTCCGAACTATGGTCCAAGAAAGGTCAAATTAATCACACAGATGGGCTATGGTTTATTTCCTGTAGTATATGGGTGCATTAAGCTGAAATAACCCATGTTTTACATATGATCACAGCCTCAGAAGACACGTTAAGGCCATCAACAAGCTGTCTGATGCTGGTATGTTCTTCTGGGACTATGGCAACGCATTTCTCCTGGAGGCCCAGAGAGCTGGTCAGTAGCTTAACACTCACACACAAGTCATACACTCAGTATATATCATCATTATCATTCAGTCCATGACATACCGATGAAGAGGCTCGCGTTTCTTGTTTTTAATAGGGGCAGAGGTAGAAAAGGTTGGTGGAGGAGCTACAGAATTCCGCTACCCTTCTTATGTCCAGCACATCATGGGGTGAGACATTTTCTCATTTGTTTAATCTAGCATTGATCCTGTAACAGGACTGTAGGAAAAGACAGAACAGTAAACTGATCAGATCTGCCCTTCCTGGTATAAATAGTTTGTCATCTCTCTCCATCTGCCGTCGCCTCAGGGACATTTTCTCTTTGGGCTTTGGGCCGTTTCGCTGGGTATGCACATCTGGCGACCCCCACGATCTTGCTGTAACGGACGATATTGCTGCTACTGTCCTAGAGGAAATAAGTGCCAATGTGACTGATCGCATCAGTCAGCAATATAATGACAACATCCATTGGATCAGAGAGGCCGGAAAACACAAAATGGTCAGTAACTTTCTTCAGAAACCAACGCCTACTTTTGTTCTCTCCTAAGAGATATGCAGCTGCAATAAGCTGATTTCCTCTGTGGATTTTCTTTGTTCAGGTTGTTGGATCCCAAGCCAGAATCCTCTACTCTGACCAGAGAGGAAGAGTCTGCATCGCTTTGGCTATCAACCGGGCTATCGCTGATGGAAGAGTTTCAGTAAGAGGATAAACTGTCTGCTAAGGAGATCTTTTTCTTGCTTACTGTGGTCTGCATGATGTCAAGTTTTCACTGCAGTCTCCACAGTGTTTCATGTTATTCCTGTTGCTCAGGCTCCTGTGGTTATCAGCAGAGACCATCATGACGTTAGTGGCACAGACAGTCCCTTCAGAGAAACCTCTAATGTGTATGATGGATCTGCCTTCTGTGCAGGTATGTGGTGTGTTCACTACAGCTGTACACAAGTTGAATCTGCAGTTTAATGACAATTGGTCTTTTATAGACAGAAGCACACAGGTCCTGCTGTTGACTGTGATACATAACCTCAAGCAAGTTGAAAGTCTCTGCAAATTGATTTTCATATCATACTGATATAAAGATGACATGAGAAGAATACTAAAAGAATTGTAGTCTAAAACTAACAACACATGATGAGCACTCGTTGCTTGGTTTGGAGGTTTTCGTCTCTCTGTTGGAAAACAATGGCTCAGATGGTGCACAGGGCAAAGACACTGTAATATTCATCATGTGTTGTCAGTTTTATGCTTTGTTCTGTGGGCAGTGATGCAATTTAACTTGACTCGGGAGTGGAGAAATTGTGACAGATGATCAAACACAAGGGAGCAGCACAACAGCCCACGCAGACAGTAGCTGCGTTCGAGGTTTTTGGCTTTGCCCACAAACTCATAAACTTGTCTACATACAGCCTCCGTTTCCTTTCCCCCAGCTGTCCTGTCTCTCTTCATCCAAATAAAACCGTAACACTGTAGGAATCATTTCAAGTGCTCACAGTGTGTTCCCTCTACAGACATGGCGGTCCAGAACTTTGTCGGCGATGCGTTCAGGGGCGCCACATGGGTAGCCCTGCACAATGGTGGTGGTGTTGGCTGGTAAGGCCAGCTGGTCATCCAGTAAATAGTAATCTGTGTGAACAGCTATTGTCATTCATCAAAGCTAAATAAAACTAATACTTCACCAAGTCAGTGTGTTTATTACTTTATCTCTCGTCTTACCTACAGGGGCGAGGTAATGAATGGAGGGTTTGGTTTGCTACTGGACGGCTCAGAGGACGCAGCAAAGCGTGCCAGTCTGATGCTCAACTGGGACGTCTCCAATGGGGTGAGAGCGTGGCAAGAAGAGCAGCGTGATAGCATCCAGCCTCACTTACTGTTTTCAGTCTTGCAATGATGACTGCTGGCGGGCTCTGATTTGGTTCTGTGCTCTGCAGGTGGCTCGTCGCTGCTGGTCTGGAAACTCCAATGCCTATGAGACCATCCAGCGCACAATGGAGGAGAACAGACAGCTGCGTGTCACCATGCCCTTTCCAGTACAGGATGAGCGTGTGCTCGACCGTGCCCTGCAGGGCTAGCCAACACTTTAGCATAGGTTAACAGCCAGTTACACACAGCCACACAGCAAAGGGAACATTTAGTCAGTACTCAAGTACTTAATGAATCAGTGTTGTTACTTGAGTTGTCATGAATACACAGAATGCAAAATTGGCTACCATATTATACTAGGCTGTTTAAATAATTCCAGTTTAATCTGCAAGAATATATTCTTTATTCTTTTGTGCTGAAAATTAAACCACACACCTGTATGAATAATAAAGCCCATTTAAACATATTTCGGTAATCTACAAAAATAATTTGTCCAATAAAGTCGGTCAAAATGTCAGTGACAGGTCAATGCCAGAGAAATGTGGTTATGATTAATTTTATATTGTGCAAAATAGAAATGAAAATGTTGTAAAAAGCAGCAGGTAAAGACAGAACTGTCAACCAACAGGTTGGTTCCTGTCTTCAGCTACGGATATTTTGGTGCTGAATAAGAGCACCCTGTCATTAAGCACATTGCCAGGCAAACACAGACCAATGACATCACACAGCATTCTTAACAAAGTAACAAAATGCGGTGCACTGGGTGTCACAACCTGGCTCAGAAGTATGTAAGAAGGGTCACAAAGTTCTAAGTAATGCAAATGTTTCAATTAAATACATGAAATAGAAATGCTGTGTGATGGTACGCACATCAGAAGTCCTGGAAGGAAAGAGGGGAGCACAGCCAACCTTATAAGACAAACAAAAATAGGGTGACCCTGGCGCCATGATACTGTTCATGTCAGATTTCTTGGCACCCTGTGTGCGCCCTGGTAAGGCCATGACATCCTTTGAAGATCTCTCACACTGCCAACCTCCTAATGCCACGCACCTAATTTCTTAGTTAATTGGCTTTGTGGACATTCTACATACACAGTTGGGCACATTTTACCTACAATCTGTGTGGCTCAGAATTAAAATGGTCTGTTTTTTCGCAGAATGAAATGTGGTGAGGAGAGAGAGAGATTGTACAAAACTGTGGGGACACAATATTATTATTTTAAGGGGTCCAGTTTCCATCCTTACGCCCCTGGACTTGAACCATGTACTTATTACATTGATGTCTGGTCATAGCTGTTGGTCGTTTGTTCTCTCCACTGGTTACCCTGCCGTGCGTCTTTACGCGTGATTGTTCCTTTAAGAAAATGAATTTGAGCCGCTCCGCGCTGACGTAAGGGAATTGGAGAGGTTTGTGTGCCCTGCAGGAAGAGGCAGATCACCGTGATGAGGGCCAGGCAGGGGTACCGGATTTCTTCAGCATTTTCCTTTCTCTCCGTTATTTAGTGTGTTTTTACTATCTCACATCCAGTGATCAGGTGGAGGCTTTTCAAGTTCTCTATGCCAGCGTAATGGTGGCATTTCAGACCCCCGCCCTTTTCTGTATTCCAAGTTTTTTGTGTTTTTTTTAGATTTCATGCCTCATTCTGCTCGTACAGTTTTTCAAAGTGCGTCGAGATGTTCTGTCGCGAAGTAGGAAACTCCTCTGGACGTACGCGGATGAACTATTTTTTCTGTTGCAGAGACTGATCAGATTTGCTCTGCATTACTGTTGGCTTTTACAGAAAAAAACATGCATCATAACCAGGAGGAGCAGTCGGTAAATCCAATTACTGCGCAGCACGGGACAGCGCACCACAGTGACACCCACAGCCTGGGGAGCAGCTTGGGCAGCAGCCTCACTGACCTCCAGCCACCTGCTTACTCCAAACTGGAGTTCAGGAGAAATTCAGTGTCAGATGATTATAAGATCACAACCCAGGTCCTCGGCCTGGGAATCAATGGCAAAGTGCTGGAATGTTACTGCAAGAAAACAGGAGAGAAGTGTGCCCTCAAGGTGTGTGTGTTTGTCTGCTTCCTGTGTGATCTAAACATCCTCTGGAGGCCGCTGTCACTGAAAAGAAACAGAGTACTCATCAATTATTCATTTCTTTTCTGTGGTCTCCACCAGTTTAATGGTGTCTTACACTGGAAGTCTGTCCAGAATTTAGATTTAATGTTTTGTGATGTTGGGTGGATTTTATGTGACGCAGATAAAATATCAATTCAACCATGGATTCATGTGGCAGTAACTTGAAAGCAAATCCAGTTACTGGGCTACCCAGACAGTGTACATGCCTGTCAGACAGTGATGTGCTGTCTGGGATGCTTGGATATTGTGTCAGACAATGATCTGCTGTGTTAATACTTAACATCACCATCTGACATTTAACAAAGTAAAAACCTAAAAACTATTCAACATTAGTATTCAGCTTATTAAGTGTGCACAGTGATTTTTAAAAGCTAACTTTAAATATAGGAGCTAAGCAAAGCCTTAAGAAAAAACAAACAGGAAGGGCAGCCTCATAAGTACCTCCCCATGTTTTCTTTGGGATATATTTGGTGGTAAGACACGACCAAAAAGGTTTGAAGAAATGTGAAGCGCTACGTAGCTCTAACCGTGTAAGTGAGTGGTAATGCTGTGATCTGTGCATAGATGCTTTGGAGGAAAGTCACACCATTTATAAACATTCATATCTGAGCTTTTTTTCATCCTCCAGTTCTCAAAAAGACATTGTAATGTCCACAAGGGTTTGGGCTGGGGTCTGCATGTCTGGAAAAATAGGATTTCCTCTACTCCACAGTGTGTGATACCACATCTGCAGCACTGTGTCTTTAAAGTGGAATCATATTACTAAACGCAGTCTTCACTCTTAATGTTCTCTACAGAAATGACTGCTTGGCAAACAGCTGCAGATTAATGGCTTTAATAGTGGCCACTGATAGTGCTGTAAACAGTGAGTGTCTTGTCTGGCATGTGTTTGCCTCTGTGGGTTTATTGATTTCTTGGCAAGGATGTCAAACTGATCTTTTAAAACAATCAATTAAGCGTATCTACCTTGGAGACTGTGACTGGCAGCGACAAATGAGAAACAGAAGCATTTCATTGATGTGTTTTTTGTGATGTGGAGCAGATCCTGTATGATACTCCTAAAGCTAGACGAGAGGTTGAGCTGCACTGGCGAGTTTCCGGAGGTCCCCACATTGTCCGAATACTCAGCCTGTATGAGAACATGCACCAGGGGAAGAAATGTCTCCTCATCATAATGGAGTGGTGAGCATTCCCTGCACGAAGTTATATTTATTGTCTGCTCATATTAGGCCTTAAAGGGAAAACATTTTTTATAATGTAGTGCAGCTTTGTGTTAATTTATGAATTTCAAAAATTCTCTTTACGCTGAACAGCAGAGAGACATTTTATGAATTCAAACATTCATATTTGAATAATAGAGCAGCAAGCATGGTATCTGGATCCAGATGAGGTTGTTGTTTTAGCTCTCACCTGGCATAACAATGCAAATCAAATGCACCTTTGGGAGTGGAGTTTAGTTTTGCACTTGCATTTGATTTTATACTTTGGGGAAAACCGCACAGTTGCTCAACAGATGCGCATACACAAATACAAATACGGTTTCTGTTTGCGTCTCAAATAAAAAAAACTCAATCCCGATTGTTCTTTGTTCCCAAAGGCTTCTTCCACACTGCAGCTTGTGCTTTTAAAAAATATATTTATTTTAAATAGCTTATGGTGGGTACTCTTTGTTTACATTGTCCCAAAGAACATAGTATAGGCTACCTCTTATATCTTTTTTTTTTAGATTTTTAAAAAATATTCTTTGGGTAGCAATAACACTCCAGTTTGAGCTTTTTCCTCCATGTCCATATAGAGTAGTTTTCAGTGTTATTTTGTTCTTTGTTTAAATTCGACTAATAATTAAACTCAGATTCAAAGACAAAGGGAAAACGTAAGTGAGTCATCACAGTGCAGTGCAACAGAGGGACAAGATGCTCATAATCCATTGTTTGATTTGATAGATTTGTTTGCTGCAGAATCGACTTGCCGAGATTCATTTGCATCTCTGACCACATGTTAATGTGGCTTGAGTGACGGGATGCCTTTGAATCCCGATTGTGCTTTGGCCTGTGTTCGCAGTCACACCTGCATTTAGCACCATCCACATGTTTGAATTAGTTATCATGGCCTTTGACAGACGACAGTTTGTATTGGCATATGGAAACACCATAATCTGCACTTTGAAATAAAGCTCATTTGGAAATGTGATGTCAAACTTTGAGCTATAGAATCAAGTGTCTCCTGCAAACACCTTCATCTCACTTACATCTTATGTGTTTGTATTTACTTTATATTGTAAAATGAACACAAGAGCTTGATGTAAATTCTGTTTTGGGGCAGACTTTCCCTTTAATGCATCCTTATAGCGTGAGTTATCTGAGTCTGCCATGGCTCAGAAGACTGGACTCATCTGAGCAGTAAATGGTGAGGCACAATGACTTGCTTTGTTAACAAACCATGATTGCAGCGGAGAACTGCCGTTGTTCGCCAAGAGTCCCCTCACTGCCCCAGTTCTGATCTCTTTGTCAATCTTGTCTCAGTATGGAGGGAGGGGAGCTGTTCAGTCGCATTCAGGCCAGAGGGGACCAGGCTTTCACGGAGAGAGGTGGGGCGGAGTTCACATTAAGCAATTTCAAATGATCGGTTTCTATTTTGTGTCCTTTACATGTCACATCTATTTCATGTCTTTCCATCAGAGGCATCAGAGATCATGCATGACATCGGCACAGCCATAGAGTACCTCCACCACATGGACATTGCTCATAGGGATGTAAAGGTACTGCTGCTGTCAAAGTAATTCTTCACAGAGAACGTAAGGAAGAGTATCTAGCTTTTCAATCTCTAATTGTTTTTTCTCTACAGCCTGAAAACCTGCTCTATACCACGAAGGAGAGTAACGCTACACTAAAACTGACTGACTTTGGCTTTGCTAAGGAGACCATGCTGCACAACTCCCTGCAAACTCCTTGTTACACACCATATTATGTCGGTGAGTGTTTACTGTCATAGTAAGAGTCTTAGTGAAATCAGTAGGTACACTGCATTTGTGCCAATATTACAAAAGTGCTATTACAGGCAAAGCTTTTGGAAATGGTTGCCCTCTTTCACTCTCGTGCTGTCCATGTGTGTCTGCATATCGAGCTGCTTTTGTGCAAGTGTGTGTTTCATTATTTACGTCATTGTGTTGTTTTGTGTCTGTATCTATTTGTTTATTCAGCCCCAGAGGTGCTTGGGCCAGAGAAATATGACAAATCTTGTGACATGTGGTCTCTCGGCGTCATAATGTACATTCTGTGAGTATCATGTGCGTGTGAAGCGGATTCAACTTAATTAAACATCTATAGCTATTCTGGTGTAATGTGTGTTGATGTTCAGCTCTGTGTTTTGATTAAAGAACACAGCAATATAAAATAGTTTATTCTTCTCTTTTCTTTTTCTTTTTTTTTTGTATTAGTCTGTGTGGGTTTCCTCCGTTCTACTCAAACACAGGTCAGGCCATCTCTCCAGGCATGAAGCAGAGGATCAGGTTGGGCCAATATGAGTTCCCCAACCCTGAGTGGGCTGACGTTTCTGAGGAAGGTCAGGATTTGCACATAATATTCATCAATAGTAAGAGAAAGATTTCATGACTGTGACATGGTTGTATACACATCCATTACATATAGTTCTCACTTTGTATGAAAATCAGCAAAGGAAGTTATGAATATGGCCTAAATAACATTCACAATACAAATTAATATTCCAATTGCAGTTCCCCTCAGCTCAACAGAGCATTTCAGTGATAGTCGGCTAATTGTTTTGGTTTTCTGACCGACAACTTTACCGTTTTGGTTCAGCCTCTCCCCTCTCTTGTTTCCAGGCACAAGCAGCTGTTTTCTGCTAAAAAAGAAAAAAAGCTCTCATAAATCGACTGTACACTACCTGACCTGCACCAAATGACAGACAAAGTTAGCGACTAGCTGGTGAACATATTTTTCTCAGGAATTGGTAGACCACAAATTCAGCCTAAGGTGAACATTAGACTTAAACATTCACCAGGTGGCCAGAAACACAACTCTGAATGAAAGATAACATTGCTCTGTATTTGCTGTATGAGTAGGGGAGACCGGGTATGGTTGTAACAATGGGAAAACACCAATTCCACCAATTAGAGATAAGATAGGAGTCATGAGATCATTTCAGTATTTACCTGCTTCCTCCCCAACCAGGCATGCAGTTTGTCAAATCTGGAAACAGGCACATTCAGAATATATAGAGAAAAAACTGATTTTGAGGTCAGAAAGTAAATTTTTTGACCAAGACTATATTTTGTTTATTATCTATACTATTGCAGATACAACTGTTTGACTTATCAATCCATCTATCGTCAGCCGCTTATCCTGCGTACAGGGTTGCGGGGGGGGGAGCCAGTCCCAGCTGACATTGACTTATATTAGATTGAATTGTAGTTTCTTAGACAACATGTGATGCAGTTTTCTCTCTGCTAATTTCAAACCACTATGCTAATACAGCTAGCTAAACAATGGCTGACAGGGTGGGGTGGATTGTAACATTTATTTAAAAAGTTTTACAACCATCCCCTATACATACATCCAGGGACTTTCTTTTTATTTTCTATTTTACAGAGTGCCCTATGCAGTCTCTGAGCTCACTATGCCTGTACTCCAGGGTTACCAGCATTCATTTGTCAGCACTGAGACGAGTACTCCCCATTCACATGTTGTTCACATGTTGCCGTATGTATCGGCACTCAGTCTTTTACCTACTCAGTCTCCGTCGGTGGAGATGGTAGAAAAGTGTACGGGCAGCCCGTGCGCCAAAATGTAAAATGTAGAAGAGCCAGTACTGCATACTGATGAGTACTGGCACACTTCAAGCACTGACTGTGACTGAATGTGTGTGATTTAAGAATACACACACACTCGCAGACACACACACACAGATGTTAAGTGTTTCATGTTATTCAAATGTTTTATTTTTGTCCTATGTAGCCAAACAGCTGATCATTCAGTTACTGAAGACAGACCCCAATGAGAGGATGACAATTGGACAGTTCGTGAACCATCCTTGGATTAGTGTAAGTTATCACTTTGTAAGCCCTGTGCCGATAGACCTGTATGTTGCTCCCCCTTTTATTCATAAGTCTTTGTGTTTTTTTTATGCAGCAGTCAATGGTGGTCCCTCCAACACCCCTCCACACCTCTCGTGTTTTGACAGAGGACAGGGAGCTTTGGGACGATGTTAAGGTAGAACCCACTTTGTCTGGATGTGTTTATTTTCAGAATATGACCACAGGATGGCGGTAAAGCACCAGATTTACAGCACAAACTGTCTTATTCTCCCAACAGGAGGAAATGACCAGTGCCCTGGCCACCATGCGTGTTGACTACGACCAGGTGAAGATCAAAGACCTAGACATGTCCAATAATCCTCTGCTCAATAAGAGACGGAAGAGGCCTATGACTGAAGGGTCCGACACAGGAGGAGATGGTGATGGAGGAGTGGTGTGTAATAGTCACAGAGAAGTTACATTTTCTGAAAAGCATGGGGAAATGATTATTTGAGAAAAATAGTATAAAAGTCTGAAAGCCAGAGTGAGCAATATTTTCCCATCTACATGTCACTTTGTTGTATTTTACTCACATTTTCTCCGTCGTTGTTTATTTTGATTGTTACCACTCTGACATTAAAAATACAATGTTGTGTTTTTTTTGTGTTTTACAACTGTGTTGTGTCACTTTTGTACAGAAAAACCTCATTTTACAAAGATTGTTTGATACTAAGAATTATAAAACCTCTTTGGCAACTGTTAGCAGAGATTTCATGGCAGTGTGAGAAGTTGGTTCTTCTTGCTGTAAACAGAGAAAGACTGTATAGAAGTCATAAAATATATTTATTAGGCAAGATTATTTCCAACTAATAAGTCCTCTAGGGGACCTTTATGACGGTTAATTATGTGGGTATTGTAAGATGTACAATCAAAGGAAGTTTAAACTATAAGAGTTCAAGGCGATAACATGCACTTGCACATGCATCAACCTCACCAGTCATTTCTGCTCACTTGAAAGTTCTTCCTCTGAGAGCCTCTGATGGCTGCTATATGCCAGTAACACATTGAGATTTTGGCTGCAAAATGGAAACCAAAGAGCTTCAGTCAGTACGACCAGTGGCATTGAACCTGCAAACCCAACACAACTGCTGTTAGTTTTTCATGTGCCCCACATAATAGCATGTGTAGCAAGTGGTAGAAAAATGTACCCCAATGTCAAAACACTACATTACAAGTAAAATTATTATTATTATTATTATTACAGTTACAGTATACATCAATAAATTATACAATACACAGGCCAAAGACATCAGCATAAGAGACAATTCAGAGAAAAGACATGCGTTCACACTGCTCTATGTCACTCAAAAGAGATACGAATTGATTAAAAAGGGATTAGCTTGTCTAATTTACTAAGCTTCTGCAGATTGTTTCACTTGTATGAAGCATAAATATATAATATAAACAAAACGTAATCAAAGTATCAAAAGAAAAAGTGCTACTTAAAAAGAAGAACAGCCTCTGTCAGTGTTACATTGTTACATATTATTCACAACAGTAACCATCATTTAAATGTATGGTTGGTTTGGAACTAAATATAACTATTTATATACTGTCAGGTAGTTTGATCTATAACGATGTAATATCTATTATAAATGCATAGGATTTCTATGTCAAACATAAATCACAATAGTAACTTAAATAGTCAGTGTTTCCCCTCTGAAATGTAGCAAAGTAGAAGTGCAAAGCAGCAGAAAATGGAAATACATTAGTAATGTACCTCAAAACTGAACTTACAATACTTCAGTAAATGTACTTAGTTATTTTCCACCACTGGTTGTAGATCATGTCTGTTTATCTTTGAGAGTTGCAGGGTGACATATGTGATTAAACATACCCTTCACAGCTAATTTATTCACAATTCATCTGTAATTGAGGGGTGCCAGAGAAACTCTAGTTACAAACACTCTGAGTTTAAACATGCAAGCTAAGAGGTGACTCAGCATATCTTTAATATTTCAATTGATTAACAAATGTCTTCTTGCTATCTTTTGCCATGGATTGTAAATACAGCTGTTCGGTTAGAGGAGGAAAGCCACAGTGCAGAGACAGCGTACACCAAGTCAAATATATTTGCATGATTACGAGCCGTACTGGAAATATTGCCATTCAAAACAGTAAGTTGCAGTTAGGGCCAGGACTGCATGTAGGTTCAGCTGATACATTTAGTAGGGATTAAAGGATCAGGAAGTGACAGTAGTGCTGAAAAGAAGGTGAAAGCAAAGGTCTTGAGATGGCATCAAGTCTGATTCCTGGATGTCAAGTAATGAGTGATCTCCTGACTATCCGTGAGAAAGGTGTCCTCTTCACGCTGCTTGAACCTCAGTGTAAGGTCAGTTCACTTCAAATGGTCAGTTCACTTCAAATGAATACCCTTAAATCCATCTGAACAGGAATTTACCTCAGTTTTTTTCTACATATATAACACATAACCATTGTAACTGCCAAATTAAAATAATTAATTAAATGGACATCTGAAACTTAAATAACAGCGCTCGCATGTGAATGTGTGTTATGATGGTTAAATATTTCAAAAGTAATACTTTCACTTGTGGATGATATTAAAGTAGTTTTGTTTTAGTCCACAGTCTTCTGATATAATCTGATGCATGTCTCTCTGAATCATTGTCTGATGAACCCAGTATCTTTAATTTATAATAATTTAATTCTTGTGTTTCCTGGGGTTTGTTTCCATGTTATCAGTAACATATATCAGCGGAGGCGTGGTGGATGAATAGGCTTTCTGTGAGGGCTGCTTTGTTTACAGTTAGTATCTGCTGTTTGTATTGCCTGGAACTACCACACCATGTCACCAGAGCAGGCGCTGCACGATGGAAAAATAACAATCTTTTTCCATGTGACACTTTTAAAGCACTAAAATGATCAAAGAAGTAAATCATGAAATAAATAAAAACAGAGAAAGAAAACAGGAGGGGGCATATTAAAGAGAGGTCAAACATAATGAATACAATGCCAGTACATAACAGCAAGACATGACAACAATGTACATAATAGTGAACATTAACTATCAAAGCAGAGAAAAGATGACAGCTTAATCCATGTTTAGTGTACTAAGGATTATAACAACTTGCCTGTGGTCACTGAAAACCTCCATGGTGATGTAAGACCTGAGTAAAGGAAGAGCCCAGGACAGGATGTGATAAAGTGGTGTGATCTCCTGAAGCTCCCACAAGATATAAAATAAGTTAAATGGATCTTTTCCCAGCATCATCTGCCTTTTAAAAAGAGGTCACTGTCTCCCTGAGGAGCAGCCTCTCTGCTATGTAACACTGAAACTAAACCAGAATGTCTCGAAGGTTACTCTGAGTCACAAAGTCTATCACATGGTTTAAAATCTCATACATTAAAAATGCAGGTCGGGGGGCTTTAGTAAAACTTCTTCTTAAGAAGGGTTGAGACTAAAGGAAAATCACAAAAACACAATGTTGATTATCAGTGTCTTTCAACTTTCATAATACAAAGTATAAACGAGACAGTTTCCTTCAAGTTTTTGTGCTTTATTTATACATTTGGGGTTTCTGATTAGAGGCTCCTGAGTAGTCTTCTTAATACATATGCACAAGTTTGAATAAGTGTCACGATTTGCATGACTCTGTGTATTTCAGCTGATCAAAACAACAGTAGCACAGGTACTCATGGCCAAAGATACCCCGGGTGAAAGTCCAGGCTGGAGTTGTTTGGGTTGTGGAGCATTGTGTCTCGTGGAGGATGAGACCATTCACTCCTACTTCCTGCGTCTCTACTCTGTCAAGGTAAGACGAACTGCAGAATCAATTAGAGATACTCCACCTACTCACATCCACTAACACACCTCACTTCCCTCAGTGAAGTGAAATTTTAGTTTCATTTCATGTGTTCGAGGACAGTTGCGAGCATGGGACAGCTTGTTGTGTTTGCTTTAACTTGGAATTTCCTTTAGCAACAATAGGGAGACTTATCTGGATGGGCGTGCCTGTAACAGCTAACAGCTAACAGCTTTCTTCCTTTCCCTTTATCCTCCCTCTGCCTTTCCTTAAACACAGCATGCAAAGTTACTTTGGGAGCAGGAGCTGTATATCCCATTCAAGTACACTGCAGCTCGCACGTTCTTCCACACTTTCCCTGGAGATGTAAGTGTTTAAGTTTTAAAGTATCCATGTCTGCAACGTGCCCAGAGTATTAGCTCTGATTTGGTTTAAGGTGGATTTGCTATGTTTGCGCAGGACCACCAGGTTGGCCTCAACTTTGCAAATGAGACAGAGGCCGAGGAATTTCACCTTGCAGTGGAGACTGTCCAAAGAAACCAAGGTTAGAATAACAACAAATGTATGACTTGTGTGTATTAATACGTTTCAGAGATGTGTTTGAAACGTCTGTCACTTCTCATATGTCTCTCGTTTCTCGTTTCCGCTCATTTGACCTCTTCTGTTTTCTAGGAGAGATGACCTGGATAGTTGCAGAAGAGGACAGCTCAACAAGTGACCCACCTGATTCAGGGTGACAGAAATGTTACGACTTTATTGACATTAATGGGACAAGAAAGCAGAGGATTAAAGTGATGCTTTACTTTTGTTTCGGTTCTTTGTAGAACTAAGCAACTTGGCCATTTGGACGGGGAGCAATATTTCCCCATAGACTTAACACCTACACCAACCACCAGTTCAGTAAGTCAAATCACACAGTAAAGTGCTCATAGCAGAAATTTACATCATGACACTGTCTAAATGTAATTAGTCTGTGTGGAAATAATGCTAAATAAATCCATTCCCTGGCGTTTCTGCTTGGTAAAGTTCATGGATAGGGACCATGCAATAAGGAGGCTATTGATGCAGGCAAACCTCACTGCGGAAGACCTGAAAGACAAAGACGTTGCTGAAGCTGTCGACTGCATCATAAACCAGTTTGGAGGACTAAAGGCTGTGCAGAGAGAGCTGAGGAACAGAGGTACTTTATCACAAAAATGTTGTGCAGCGTATGGTCCTTTTATGTTCTGTTTTTTAAGTTTATCTTATGCTTCAATACTAAACATTCATACAGGATCTTTTAAGGGAGTGCTCTGGCATGTTTGACAGGCCCAGTATCGCAGACAATGCCGAGATCTGCAGGGGCGTCCATTTCCCTTGCTCTGAAGAAAGGGCCTTTGCCACCGGTTCCCTCTATCAAACGCAGCACCAGCACCAAAACCTCCCAGCAGACTCCAAAGGGCACAGACACGCTAAGCCAGAATCCCCCTTGGATTCCTCCTCCTTCACATGCTCCAGTTGTTCCAGAGAGAATGAGGAAGCGTGCAAGTTTCAAACAGGTAAGAGTACAAGGACTCGTGCTGTTACAGTCCTGTAAAAGTCCATTTGAATATGTAAAATGTGTGGACTGAATACTCTTCACTTTTCTTTGATGTGTTAGGTGGGCTCCTTGGCAGCTGCAGACAGATGCGACCATATCCTGAATGCATTGAGAGAAGTCGAAGTAGCCAGACATAAGAAGCAACTCCAGTGAATCACATGCAGATGGGAGTCAGACCGGGCAGGATTCCGACAATGATGTGCACAATTAAAGAAAGTTTGTTTTATCTGAGCTGTGTATGATACACTAATTAAAAGTTGTGATACAT